TTGATGCTACAAATAAGAGATCGATGAAAAATAAAAAGATGTTAATGTCATCAAAGGTTTACAATTATAAGTATTTAAATTAAGTTAAATGCATTAAAGTGAGAAAAGATGTAAACAAAATAAAATTAATAAAAGCTACATTACATAATAAAGGTGCCAGTTTGATCCTGTCATAATTTTATTGTAAGGGAGAATATTTTGAAATTAAATTACAAGCGATATTTAATAATAATAATATGGAGAGATTTTAATTCTATAAATGTTAACACTTATACTCATGTGGAATAAAAAGAAAGAATTGCAGCAAAAAAAGACAAATAGAATTTAAAAGCGCAGTTTTAATGTTTAAAAAATTACAATACAAATTTTAAAAATAGTTTAGTAATTTAATGTGAACAACCAAAAGACAAGACTATGAAGTGGGTATTAGAAAGTTGAAAAAAAAAAATGAAAAAGGAAAGATGTTAGGTACTTCATTTTTACTTTTTAGAATTAAAAGTGAACATCGAAATAAAAATATACATACAATGTAAATTGAATTGATTAATTTCGTATGACATAAGGCAAATTACAAAATAAATTGTATGATGTTAATAAATGACAATGGGGAACACTTACCAACGTGGCCAAATCAGCTTCACCGTATCTTTCCCAGTACGAACGCTCCCACGAAGATCCTGTACGCCCGAAGGTCCTGTACGCCTTGAAGATGTCATGCAGATGTAGCTACAACAAAATCAAATTTTCAAACTTTCTAAGCCTAATAGTTACTACTTTTTGGAAACTTAGTTAAGAAGTTAATTTAATTCATTTTAAGATGTAACTATTTATGAGTATTAATAATAGAGATGAAGTTAATGGCGCAATTTTAATGAAATATTATAACAAATAAAACAAAGGGTAAAACGTTTTAATATAAAATTTTTGCACATTTCCAAAATAAAAAAATTCTTAACAGAGGAATATAAAATTGTGATAAGTAAACCTTTACACATCTGTATAATACACAGAATTACTAAGGCTCGAGTCAGATACATAATACCTATGTATACCTATATACGTAAGATAAAACCGAATTATCTGATGATAAACAAGCCATTAGGACGAATAAATAACTTTCCGAGGACATTTTTTAGATATCGAACTATCGCAATGAAAAACGTTTAAAATCCTAAAAACTTAACACATGGAATGAATAAACCAAATTCCTATTCAAAAGTATTAGCTACCCCAAATTAGGCCTAGTTTTTTCGATTATAACTATCTTTAGTATTTTAGTATCCTTCGGGGGTGGTATAGGAAAGGAGTGGAGGAGAATGTGTAAGGAAAAGTTCTCCGTGAGTGGTTTCCTACCGTAACCATTAAGGAATATGAATTGCATGGTAATTTAACCAAGCCTAAGCTCTATCTTCGATGATGAAGAAAACTAAACCCGAACCCTAATATGCTAAAAGCTTAGTATAAACAGAAGGGTTCCATAGGACCAATACAATGGAACTCTAAAAAACAAACTCAATATTAAAGGTAATGAAAAAAATACAATAAATCAGTTAGTGACAATAGCAGCTAGGATTTCTGAAGTATGCAATTATCAATTTATAAGAGATCCTTACAATAGGTACCGAATAATATTTAAACTTGCAACGGTGCACCGTTTGTAAATCCGAACCCTAATATGCTAAAAGCTTAGTATAAACAGAAGGGTTCCATAGGACCAATACAATGGAACTCTAAAAAACAAACTCAATATTAAAGGTAATGAAAAAAATACAATAAATCAGTTAGTGACAATAGCAGCTAGGATTTCTGAAGTATGCAATTATCAATTTATAAGAGATCCTTACAATAGGTACCGAATAATATTTAAACTTGCAACGGTGCACCGTTTGTAAATCATTATTGTTAATCAAAATATACTGGAATAATAAAAGAACTTAAGTTTTAATTCATTTAATGAGAAATTTATAACATAAGCTTCGACTAAATGATTATTTTCAAAGTATTTCCAGTAACTACTTTCTGAAAAATATCTACGTTTTGGTCGAAACATAGGTATGCTATTAAAGATTTTTTGTTAACTGTAATGTGTGAGTTATTATTCCTTTAACTTTTTATTAAAGAGATTTATTCGTGCAATTTTCAATTACTTACCACAATCGTACGAATATTTAAATAATAAATTGACATAAACGATACGGAATTGCTTGCGTAATTTAAAATCCTTGTTACAGGCGAATGATGAAGATACCCTGGATAGAGAAGGTTAGAAATGAAGAGGCATTAGAAAGAATAGGAGAACAGAGGACTCTATGGAAATCAATAAAAAATAGGCGAGATAGGTTAGTAGAACACCTTCGCAGGCATGAAGGTCTAGTCAGAGACATATTAGAGGCAGAAACGGGTGTTAAGAGGAGTAGAGGTAGACTCAGATTGGGGTTGTTCTAGTTTTAGGGAAATACGAAGATTAGCTCAGCACAGGAAAGAGTGGAGGTGCGTGTCCAACCAGTCTTAGGACTGACGACCTTATGATGATGGGGGGAGAGAATTAAAAATCTGAAATATATCTAGTCAAGTGAAATATCATTCAAAAAATAATAAAATTCTAGGAACGACGTACCAGAAAGAATCAATTGTTTTGAATTATAAACAGTGTAAAATATGTTTATCACATGATATACTGCGGGCGAGTGAATTATCATTTGAAAGATATAGAAATTTTGAAAACGACATATGCTCTTCAGTTTTTCGCCAGAATCATAATTCTTGAGTTATAAGCAGTAATGTATTGCCGGACAAGACGTAATCCCTGGTAATTTATAAGAGTGCTTGCAGAACAAACAGTCAATGTGCTATGGTCACGTTGTGTCTACAACGAGTGTGGAAACTACCCACAAACAATACCATTGTCTTGCAATAACAAAAATTGCCACTTAAAGCCGTTTGAATTGTTGAAAATGGTAATCAATGTTCATGTATTCAATGAGCAGCTCAATAATTCGTATGAAGAGACCTGCTTGGGTTTTATTGATTGTCGCGTTTCCTAAATAAACTTTTTTGGATCAAGGCAAATTGCTAGTATATGAGCACAACACTAGAACACTTCTTCATTGTTTACATAAGCACGAAGACGTATTTAATAACTCAAGAGAAATGGTTCATATACAGGGTGGAACAGAAATAATTGCCGAGTTTGTATGAGTTGATTGAACATTATAAAACTTGAAAATTAAGTAAATGTTTGTACGAGGTTTGTTAAAAAAATATCACGAATCTTGAATTTCAGAAGGTTACGTATATTCGATTTGCGATTTTTTTGAAGCGTTATGTTATGTCACTTATACCGACAAATTCAAGCATGTTGAATGTTCATTTAATTTTTGACATCTGCTTTGCTTGTACGTGTTTTGGCTCGTCTTCAATTTTTGCCTATTCCAAAAAATGGATCAAGGAATCTGTGTCAAATTTTGTTTGAAAAACAAAATTAAATGTGCGGACGCATTCCGAATGTTGACTGTGGCATATGGTGAAGTTATCTTGGAGCGAAGCAAAGTTTATCGGTGGTAGAAAATGTTCTCAGAGGGTCGAGAAGATGTGAACGACGAAGAACTTGTCGGACGCCCGAGCACATCAACAACGGACGAAAACATT